GAGGGAGGGGGTGTCCCTGCGGCGGGGGAGGGGCAGCCCGGGCGGGGACGCGGCTTCGGGGGAGGGTCTGTTCCGGGGGGCCGGGCCCCGGGGGGGGGGTTCTTTTTCCGTTGCGCTGCAGCGAGATCGGGACAAAGGAGGGGGCGGGGGGCGGCGGCCGCTTTGCGGGGAGCGGGTGTTCCCCCCTACGCGGCGCATGCCCCCTACTGCGGCCCGCAGTTTAGAGCCCTGGCCGGCCGCCGGGCTTCTCCGGATACTTCGGGGTTTTTTTAAATAACGGAGGAGGCGCGGATCCTGGCAGCCCCCAGGGTGGTCAGGAGGGTTCCGGGTGGCAGGGATGGGGTCCTGGCGAGGTCTGGCACCCATTTGGCAGGTGGAGAAACTGACGACGGTCCCCAGTGTTTGGTGCCGGGTTCCGTCGGTGGTGACTGCGCGACGTGGGCATGACTGGGTCTCGTGGTCCCAGTTCCCCCTGCGGCCCCCCCCCCCCCCCCCCAGTGTGGCTGAGGGAGTTATCTCTCCAGTTGTCCTACCCGCTCCAGCTGTCGCCTCCTGGGCCAAGCCCCTTCCTCCAGCCTCGCATAGCTCCTCAGTTAGAATGGGAGAGACGACGGCTTTGGCTGGGAGGGTTAAATGAGAGGATGCCTGGAGCGCGCCTGGCACTGCGCCTGCACGTCGCCCGCGCTTAGCACGCGGGAGCTGCTGGGGCGCTTGTCATCCCTGTGTACCCCGCATCGAGGCCTCAGCCCCCGTCACCCAGCCTGCTCCTGCTGGGTTGGGGGTGGGGGGGAGGGAGGCTGACTGGGGTTTACCTGTCCCCTGGCCCTTCAAGCACGGGATTGGGGAGGTGTGGGTCAGAGTATCATAATAAAATAAAATAGAATATCGCTTTAGAGTAAAAGTTGAAATCTGGGATTCTGGATTCAGGCTGGCTCGATGTGTATCCCTGTGCAGGAAAATTCGAGCTGTGTGACCTTGGGCAATTGATTTCACTTAGCCCCTTTTCCCTTATCTGAAAACTGCCCATCGTAGCAACTGACTGAAGGGCTGTGTCGAGGCTGAAAGGAAATGATTCTGTGTTGTGACCCACTCACTGTCGGGTGCAATGAATCATCCCCGAGCTGTAGTCAGGGTCTCTCCGTACCAACCTCCTTTAATAGAACTAAGCTGACCCTGGGGCATCCTTGTGAGAGGCTCCTTGGCCTGATCTCGAGGGTGAGGACATGCCTGCTGACACAGGGGGCAGCTCTGCCCCACACTGACCCTGCTACACCCTTGATGGAGAGCACTTAGGCCGCCTACTCTGTCCGCACAAGGAGACCTGTCGGGCATTCCGGGACACA